AATGATGAATCACTCCAGAGGAAGTTTGGAAAAGCTCCTCTCACTGGATGAAAACTTGAATGGGGCAGGAGTAACCCCGGGGTTAAATTCCCTCTCCTCCCTTACCTATATGGATTTCCCTCTTTGGGATCCCCTCCCACAGCAGCGTGGGAGCCCTCTGTCTCTCTCTTTTTACCTGTGTGGACTCCATCTCTGGATCCCCTCTCAGGACAGCATGGGAGCTCGCTCGCTCGCGCGCTCTCTCTCTCTCTCTCTCCCCCTATTTCTCTTTCTCTCTCTCTACCTAATAAATCACTTTTCTGCAAAGCTCTTTGGGTCTGATATTTACTTGAACAATATCACCATGCTGCCAGGGTCCTTCTCCCCATTCTTGGGTGAGTGAGGCCCGAAGACCTGGGAAAACCCACTTGATCAGGGAACACTGAGTGTCGTTGGGACACCCCCGCAGCCCCGCTCCTGTTACCCAGTTACACTGAGTAGCTGGGGTTACAGACATGCACCACCACGTCTGGCTAATTTTTGTATTTTTAGTAGAGATGGGGTTTCACTATGTTGGCCAGGCTGGCCTCAAACTCATGACCTCTGGTGATCCGCCTGCTTTGGCCTCCCAAAGTGCTGGAGGTGGGACAGAGTGAGACACCTCCAGCACTTTGGGAGGCCACTCTGGGATTACAGACGTTAGCCACTGTGCCCGGCCATTAGTTACTAAATTTTAAATTTATTTTTTCCTGTTAACAGAAGGAATCATACTCCCTGGAAAATATTATAAAGATACAGAAATGAATTATGTAAGAAGTGAAGTCCTCTGGCACTCCAAGGACAACTATTGTTTTACATTCATTTTACTGTTCCCATTGAGAACATTTTAAATACAGAAATAACATAATCATAGTTTTGCTTTAGAAAAATTAGTTTGGCAACAGTGTTTTATGGCACAGATGGGGGACTTAGGAGGGGAGATGGAGGTGAAACCCTGTCTCTACAAAAAAATACAAAAATTAGCCAGGCATGGTGCATGCCTGTAGTCTCAGCTACTCAGGAGGCTGAGGCACAAGAATCACTTGAACCCAGGAGGTGGTGGTTGCCGAGATCATGCCACTGCACTCCAGCCGTGGCCACAGAGTGATACCTTGTCTCAAAAAAAAAAAAAAAAAAAAAAATTTAGTAGCTATTGATTGTCTTCAGATTAGAGTTCAAATGCTTATATATTTGGTGTTATGACCAAAACTGTAAGTAGTTGAGATTTATAAATAGAAATATTTATGTCATATGATTTATATTTATAAAATATAATTTATATATAAATATTATATATATGATATATTCTCTGGTGTTTCAGTGCTGGTGACAGAAACACCAGAGAACAGGTCATTTATTACTCACACAGCATATTAACGCCAGAACCTCACTTCTTTATTCCTCATGGGCTATACGACAAGGACCATATATACACCTCTATGTACAAGTAGAGTTTGCACTACAGGAGAGGAACCGCCAAATTATGAGAGGTGGAGCTTATATCTAGCAGCTGAGATATCTGCCCATCCTCTTCTATAGAACATTGCTATGGGATATGATCACATTTTCTCTGGAAAGAGAGAGAAAGGGCAGGTCTTTAACTTTCCTTTACCACCTTGGAATGTAAATAAATGGCTCCAAGTGAGAGAAGTCTCTAAATCTCTTCAGAATTTTCTGTCTTAAAGATTAATATCTAGTTATCCTTTACTCAGACTGTTCAAGAGCACTGAGAAATCCAGGGATAAAAATCTTCCAACTCAAGGCATTCCAGGCCTTGGGATCTCCTGCCTATTTTTCCAAATTCTACCAACTTCTTTCTCTGCATCCTGGGTCCCAGTGATGTAATCTAGCATGCTGTCTAACATCTTTGTGCCTTTGTACTTGCTCTTTCTCTGTGTCTACAACACCCTTCTTATCTCATCTTCATCTCCTTAATTTCCCACATTCTTCACAACTCATTTCTGCTTTAGAAAGCCTATCCTCAGCCTTGCGCGGTGGCTCACGCCTGTAATCCCAGCACTTTGGGAGGCCGAGGTGGGTGGATCACGAGGTCAAGAGATCGAGACCATCCTGGTTAACATGGTGAAACCCTGTCTCTACTAAAAATACAAAAAATTAGCTGGGCATGGTGGCACGTGCCTGTAATCCCAGCTACTCAGGAGGCTGAGGCAGAAGAATTGCCTGAACCCAGGAGGCGGAGGTTGCAGTGAGCTGAGATTGCACCATTGCACTCCAGCCTGGGCAACAAGAGCGAAACTCCGTTTCAAAAAAAAAAAAAAAAAAAAAGCCTATCCTCTCAGGGACTGGATTAGGAGATTCTCCTCAGTGTTCCCATTGTGCATGGTGCTTAACTCTTTAATAGTATTAAGCACATTAAAATTGTACTTACGTACTTGAAGTGAATTGCTCTGTACTAAATGATGAGCAACCTGAAGAGAGGCCTTTAAATGCACACCTAGCAGAATGGCAGCATGAAAAGCTCTGTGGCCTCCGTATGAAACAACTATAACTGGTGAAGCACTTTAAAAACAACCATTTCAGTTTCCTGAAACTGCCCAAAAGTTATACAGCAAATGAAGAAATGTTTATTCAAGAAAATCTACTACATCTTGGTAAGAACACCAGTAGTCTGTCAGTGGTAGTGACATGTCAGAGCCATGACTTGCTGCTTCTACCATCCTGCCCACCTTGAGGAAAGTTCCACTCAGGTGGGTGTGGCCAAGAAAATGGGGCTCCTTCTTCCCCCAGATCCCAGGAGAGCACTAGGAGCATTTTGGTTACAACCATTTAACCAGTCTTTAAGAAACTGCAAACTTTCCCTCATCTTCCTATCTTCTTCTGAGCCCTTCAAACTCCTCCAGCCTCTGCCCATGACTCAGTTCTATGAAAGGAAAATAAAGCTCGGAACCACAAAATCCCTAAACAAGGGAAAAGTCAAGCTGGGAACAATGTCTTATTTAGGCATAAAACAGGAAGTTTTATGCCTAAATAAGATAGCTACAGAGATGAAAAGCTTTTATTCCTAAGTAAGATAGCTACAAAGATAAAAAGCTACATACCTCCCTCACCACTTGCCTACAAGTAAATTCTTTGTGGACAAAGGACAGACAGAACTCAGTCATCCCTCTGGGGCTCACCTGGGACAAATGCATATCTAATTGCTTCCTTTGCCTTATTGTTCATGTAAAATGCAGATTCACTAAGCCAGACTAAATTATGTATCCAGTGGATGGCTCGTCAGGGACTTGAAAAAATGCAATCTTTTGTCTCTTATCTACTTCCAACCTGGAAGCCCCCCTCTTTCAAACCATCCTGTCTAATTGGACCAAACCAATGTACATCTTACACATATTGATTAATATCTCATGCCTCCCTAAAATGTACAAAAGCAGGCTGTACCCCAACCATCCCAAGCACATGTCTTCAGGACCTCCTGAGGTTGTGTCACTGGTGCATCCTTAACCTTGGCAAAATGAACTTTCTAAATTGATTGAGATTTGTTCTAGATACCTTTTGGCTTCCAAAGCCACTTCCACATCTTTATAGCAATGCCTGAAGCCTGGTACCAATTTTCTGTCTTAGTCCGCTCGTGTGTTGCTCTAAAGAAGCACCTGAGACTCCGTGATATATAAAGAAAAGAGGTTTAATTGGCTCATGGTTCTGTAGCCTGTAGGGGAAGCATGGTGTCAGCATCTGCTTGGCTTCTGGTGAGGCCTCAGGAGCTACTAATTATGGCAGAAAGCCAAGGGGAGCCAGCACATCTCATGGCAAGAGAGGGAGCAAGAGAGAAAGACAAGGTCCCAGACTCTTTTAAACAACCAGATTTTTTTTTTTTTTTTTTTTTTTTTTTGAGGCGGGGTTTCGCTCTTGTTACCCAGGCTGGAGTGCAATGGCGCGATCTCGGCTCACCGCAACCTCCGCCTCCTGGGTTCAGGCAATTCTCCTGCCTCAGCCTCCTGAGCAGCCGGGATTACAGGCACGCACCACCATGCCCAGCTCATTTTTTGTATTTTTAGTAGAGATGGGGTTTCACCATGCTGACCAGGATGGTCTCGATCTCTCGACCTCGTGATCCACCCACCTCGGCCTCCCAAAGTGCTGGGATTACAGGCTTGAGCCACCGCGCCCGGCAACAACCAGATCTTGTGTGAACTAACTGAATGACAACTCACTTACCACCAAAGGGATGGTGCTAAGCCATTCATGAGAGATCCACCCCCATGATCCAATCACCTCCCACCAGGCCCTACCTCCAACACTGGGAATCACATTTTATCATGAGATTTGGAGGGGGCGAACATCCAAACCATACCATGTATCTCCCTGGAGGGACAAGCTGCCAGCATTTCTATCTGCTGTCATGTTCGGTTGTAAAGGCTAAATTGCAGGTAAGTGTGGCCTGGAGAATGGAAAGACTGCGGATTCCTTTCCTCCTTTCAGATTGCATCTACAGAGCCGTGGCTGTATCCCAGTTGCCCTTATCGCAGCTCATACATAGGGTGCGAGTTCCGTGCTGGGACAGGCTAGCTGAGAATAATGAATGGAAACTACTTCTCCCTTGCAAAGCCTTGTTCATAAAGCAGAAGGTGAGAGAAGGTGACTGTTCCTATCCCCAGCTCTGGCTGGAGCAGTGGCTCAGAGGTTTTGTGTACGGATGGGTTGGGGTTGGGACTAGCTCAAAAGTTCAGTTATGTGACACTAGAGTCACTTTAAAGGACAGTGCTAGGAAGACTAAAGTCAAGTTAGATAAACTAAAGGAAAATGAACCTAAATCCGCTCGTGAGCAAACAGAACACTTGAGACAAACCTTTTCAATAGAAAGGCGGATCTTAGCGCTCTGGGGAAAGGCTACCTCTGCCAGTAAAACAGCAGAACGCTTCCACCTACGCGAAGCAAGCACCACGACCGGAAGCAAGAGCCCGGATAAAGGCGGAGCTAAGCGTGCCGGATGATGCGTCACGGAGCGTGTGTGCGTCACGTCGCAGGGGGGGGTACGTCCGTGTTTGGTTTCCGGGCTACCGCCGCCACAGGCTGCAGGTGTGCGGACTCCTGGAGCCATGGGGACTCCTCCGGGCCTGCAGACCGACTGTGAGGCGTTACTCAGCCGCTTCCAGGAGACGGATAGTGTACGCTTCGAGGACTTCACGGAGCTCTGGAGAAACATGAAGTTCGGGACTATCTTCTGGTGAGTGCTTCTTGTCCACCACTCGCCTCTCTCTGCCCGCCGGTGGTGTAGGAAGTTGCCTCCCTCCCGGCGGTATTGCACTTGGGAAGGGCTGAGAAGAGCTGCAGTCCCCGAAGGTTGCCTCCATCACACCTGGACCTTCCCCTGTGCACAGGCCACGCGCTGTCTCCGCTCTATCTCACCGGGCCCTGATGGCTGTTGCGGCCTCCTCCCAAATAGGCGTCTCTACCTGGCCTCCCTTTTAAACGCTCTCCGTCTCCACTGCCTCCACCCTCACCCAGGCCACTGTCATTTGCCCTTCTTCAGTCTTGTTCTAGAGCCTCACGTTTAAAAACAAAACACACAGGCAAAGACAAAACCGTTCAAGATTGAATTAATCTTTCCTATAACAACCAAAATTGTCTCTCTCTCTCTTTTTTTTTTTTTGAGACGAAGTCACGCTCTGTGGCCTGGGCTGGAGTGAGGTGGCGCGGTCTTGGTTCACTGCCATCTCCACCTCTCAGGTTCAAGCGATTCTCCTGCCTCAGCCTCCCGAGTAGCCGGGACTACACGCGCATACCACCACGCCCGGCTAATTTTTTGTCTTTTTAATGGAGACGGAGTTTCACTATGTTGGCCAGGCCGGCCTCGAACTCCTGATCTCGTGATCCTTGGTCTCCCAGAGCGGTGGGGTATTACAGGCGTGAGCCATCGCACCCAGTTAAAAGTTGTCTTTCAAAAGTGCAAATTTGATCATGTCACTTCCCGGCTTATTACTCTCTAGTAGTGTCCTTTGCCTTTGGGATAACGCTAGAATTCTCTGACTTGCCGTGACCATTCCTCAATGGCCTTGACGTATCTCTTCAACTTCGCCCGCCAGTCTCCTGCGTGCACTCACTTTCCTGCTCCAGCAGCCGCTTTTTTTTTTTTTTCTCGCCCTCCCCAGGCTTTTCCTAAGCCTGGAGCTTTCCCCCTCAACTTTCTATCTTGTTTAATCTACCTTATTCTTCACTCAGGATTAGGCTTAAATGACTTTCTCAGGGAAGTCTTTTTTGCTCTTCTAGATGAAGTATGCTGTTCGTGTATTTTTCCCCCCATGGCACCCTGTTTTTATTTTATCTCACCGCTTGCCACATTTTGTTGTAACAGTATAGTTGAAAAGGCAGTGTGGGAATGTTGTTAAGGGGATACGTTATGGAACCCGATTGGCTGCATTTGATTGCAGGGTCCACTGTGACTTGGGGCAAGTTACTTGAGTTTCCTTACCTGTAAAATAGAAACAATGATAAAACCTCATAGTAGTTGTGAAGATTAAATGAGCTGATGTATTAGAAGTGCATTCTAAGTGCTCAGTAATTTTTTTTTTTTTTTGAGACAGTTTCACTCTGTCACCCCAGGCTGGAGTGTAATGGTGCGATCTCCGCTCACTGCAACCTCCACCTCTTGGTTTAAGGTGATTCTCCTGTCTCAGCCTCGCAAGTAGCTGGGACTGCAGGTGCTTGCCATCATGCTCGGCTAATTTTTGTATTTTTACTAGAGACGGGGTTTTACCATTTTGGCCAGGCTGGTCAGATGTTCATTATTATTACCGTTTTAAAGTTTTCCTTTGACTAGACTGACCTATGTGAGGATAGTGACTCGATGAATCTGTTTATTTTAGCATAGTACATATAATATTGGAAAGGCTACATCACTGATTTTCTGAATGCGTTAAACCTTATGATTAAAACTATGTTTTTCTGAACAAAATGTAAAAACTCATTTTCTCTCTGCCAGTATAAACAAATTACCTTTGTAGTTTTTAAATTGCAAGGAATAGAAGCTGTTCATGGTAGTTAATGAAAGGAGAGGGACTAATTTTTTTTAAATGGCTGCTAAATGCAATGTATTTATAGCTTTATTTATTGCATAAAACAGTTGTAAAAAGCAGGTATAATTATCCTTGTTTTATAGATGAGGAAATTAAGGCTTAAAGGGGTTAAGTAATTTCTCTACCCTTACGAAGATAGGGGATGGTAGAGCAGATGTTGAAAACTATGTATGGGGATGGTAGAGCAGATGTTGAAAACTATGTGTCTACTTGTTTATAAAATCCTATTATTTAACTGTACCGCTTCATGGGGGAAAAATGCATTTAAGGAAAACTTTGCTAAAAATGTAACATTTATATTTTCCAGTAGGGTAAACCTAAAATGAAAAAAGAAGCAGGAATCACTAAAGGAGTGGGGAATTTTCTGAGAAATTACTTTGGTTACCATTATTAGAGTAGGTATTTTGTATTCTTTTCATATATTCATTGTTATTATTATTATTATTATTATTATTATTTGAGATGGAGTTTCACTCTTGTTGCCCAGGCTGGAGTGCAATGGTGCGATCTCAGCTCACCACAACCTCTGCCTCCCGGGTTCAAGCGATTCTTCTGCCTCAGCCTCCTGAGTAGCTGGGATTATAGGCATGCACCACCATGCCTGGCTAATTTTGTATATATATATATATATTTTGTAGAGATGGGGTTTCTCCATGCTGTTCAGGCTGGTCTTGAACTCCCGACCTCAGGTGTTTTGCTCTCTTCGGCCTCCCAAAGTGCTGGGAGTACAGGCATGAGCCATAGTGCCCGGCTGTATATTTATTATTTGAAAAGCCAAAATATCCTTCTACTACCTGCTTTCCCCCACCCCAACGTTGTAATCAGATATAATAGAGCCCCAGCTTATGGCTGCAGGGCTCATGTCTTTATTGTTTGTTGCTGTTTTTAAAGTAAAAGTTCTATATATTTGTTTAGTGTACCAGTCACTTGCATCAATACTTTGAGACATTCATTTTAGCCGAGGTCTTATTTAAAATCAGACATTTTTTTTTTAATTCACTAATTTCAGGTCTTAAGTAGAAATCTATAATATGCACAAATGTGCCTTCATTGTTTTATCCAAAGTGGTACGAAGGCTGTTACATTGACTTTTTTTAAGGCCTTGGTTTTTTTGTTTGTTTTTGTTGTGTTTTTTTTTGAGACAGAGTCTCACTTTGTCACCTAGGCTTGAGTGCAGTTGCGCAATCTCAGCTCACTGCAACTTCTGCCTCCCTGGTTCAAGCTATTCTTCTGAATAGCTGGGATTACAGGCATGTGCCACTACGCCTGGCTAATTTTTGTATTTTTAGTACAGACAGGGTTTCACCATGTTGTCCGGGCTGGTCTCGAACTCCTGTCCTCGTGATCTGCACGCCTCGGCCTCCCAAAGTGCTGGGATTACAGGTGTGAGCCACCATGCCCGGCAAGGCCTTGTTTTTTAAAAAATTTTTTATTAACACAGCAGAACAGTTTCAGATAGTTTATTCATTATGTTATTTATGTCCACAGAAAATATATGTGAACCTCAAAAATTTGAGACAGGTCTTAGTTAATTTAGAAAGTTTTTTTGCTAAGATTGAGGAAGGGCCCGTGACACAGCCTCAGGAAGTCATGAGGGCATGTACCCGAGGTGGTCAGGGCACAGCTTGATTTTATACATTTAGGGAGACATGAGACGTCAATATATGTAAGAAGTACATTGGTTCAGTCTGGAAAGTGGGACAATTTGAAGGAAAGGCAGGAAGACTGGAACTGAGCAGGGAGCTTACTGGTCACAGATAGGTGTTACACAAATAATTATATTTTTCTGGGTTTCTAATTAGCCTTTCCAAAGGAGGCAGATGTTTATCTCAGTGAGCAGAGGAGTGACTTTGAAACCACGGAAAGCAGGTTTGCCCTAAGCAGTTTCCAGCTTGAGTTTTCCTTAGTGATCTTGGGTGCCCAAGATATTTTCTTTTCACATATATGTCCTATGTGATTTCATTGATTGATTGCCAAGAAAGCCTTGTTGCTCTCTTGGATGTTTGAACAAAGCTTTTGGTTGTATGCTAGAGTATGCTGTTTTAGCCTGCTCCTCCTTTCTTCTGATGAGCTTGCAGTGCTCTGGACATTTAGGAGTGTGGGTTACTTTGTGCTGTTTCTCTAACTTTTTCACCTAGGCTTCCCAAGGACAAAGGAGATTTAGTGCAAATCCCTAAAAGTGTCGGAGAAAAGGTTCATTATATATTAAAAATGCATATAGTTCCGTAACATAACAATGATTATTTTAAGATGATGTGTTTTAAATATTTAACCAGTAATAATTTGAAACTGCTTCCATCTTGCTTTCCAATTTGGCAAGTAAAGTTGATGTTTTTGGAAGATGCATCATGTTTACCTAGTTGTTGCCTGTGCCTTGGTGTAAAATTATCTCTTTGTGCTTGAATCATGAAACAATCGGATATGAGATCCTCATCAAATTATTAGTAACTACCGTTTAAACAAGTATATGCTTCTGGCTTTTATTCATTATTTATTCACTTAATGAGTCGTCATATATTTTCTCTTTGTTTATTAGTGGCAGAATGAGAAATTTAGAAAAGAACATGTTTACAAAAGAAGCTTTAGCTTTGGCTTGGCGATATTTTTTACCTCCGTATACCTTCCAGATCAGAGTTGGTGCTTTGTATCTGCTATATGGATTGTATAACACCCAACTGTGTCAACCGAAACAGAAGGTAATACTTAGTTATTTTTCCTTAGCAGAAATGTAAAACAAGTACCATATTTGTATAATAAATATTATCTGATTAAATATGATTTAAATAGAAATGTCAGTATTTTAGTAATAATAGTATGTTTGTGAAAAAAATTTAGTACAACTGTTCCCCCCACCGGTTGCAGATCAGAGTTGCCCTGAAGGATTGGGATGAAGTTTTGAAATTTCAGCAAGATTTAGTAAATGCACAGCATTTTGATGCAGCTTATATTTTTAGGAAGCTACGACTAGACAGAGCATTTCACTTTACAGCAATGCCCAAACTGGTATGTTGCCTAAAATAATTTGTCTTTTTCAAAATGTAGAATTACACTTTATTGTCCATAAAACCTCTCAATTTACAGAAACTGGAATGAGTATTGATAGTGTTCAAGACTTGTAGCTGCTTTTAAATAGGAAAAGTATTTTCTATTTTCTACGTTTTTTTCTGCAAACAAAAATTTAGCTGTTGCTTTTAAATGCATTGTGTCTGGATGCCACATATTAAGTGAATTGTTTTGAGAGGAGATTAGATTTGGCATCTGCATTTGCTCATGTCTCAGACGTCAGAGGAGGTTACTGAAAGAGGTACAAAATTGTTAAAAATTCTTTGGTGAAAAGTTGAAACTTCTAATAAAGTGTTATTTTTTAAATCTTGTGACAACTGAGACACGAGGTTGGAGGAGCACTAGTTCTGGTTCTGCCATTAGCTGGCAATTTCTACTTATCTGAATTTGTAGGCATGTGGCATGGCATCTAAAAGGATAGTTAAGAAGTCTAATAGTCTCTGGAACGAGAATATTTAACAAATGTACCCATACAGCTGCTTTTGTTTTATCTGTGTTTACTTACAGACAATTTTTAGTGCTGGTGTATATTTCAGTACTTAAAAAAAAAAAACTTTAAAAGAAACTCATTTTAAATGGCATGTATTATTACATAGCTATCATATCGGATGAAGAAAAAAATTCACCGCGCTGAAGTTACAGAAGAATTTAAGGACCCAAGTGATCGTGTGATGAAACTTATCACTTCTGATGTATTAGAGGTAAATTTGCTTTTGTGCTCTTGCAAGTTTTTAAAAATTGTTTTATTGCCAGCTACATGTTGAGGTTATACCTTAATCTGTTGGATACTGACTTTTCTAATGATTTTAACCATCTAGAATGCTATTTCTCTAGAGTATCAGAAATAAAATAGCCTAAATATATCAAGAGTTACAAATCTTGAAATACTGTGAGAAAAAAAAGTTATATAAGACTGGACTTAGACTGAGGATATGTGAATTCAGTTTTAAGACCACCTTTTTTGTTTGACTTTAATTAGGTCATAAAACATGAGTTTAAAGTGACTTTACTTACTTTTTAAAAAAACAATATGCATGGTGGGACGCGGTGGCTCACACCTATACTTTGGAGGCCGAGGTGGGTGGATCAAGAGTTTGAGACCAGCCTGGCCAATATAGTGAAATTCCATCTCTACTAAAAATACAAAACTCAGCCAGGTGTGGTGGCAGGCACGTGTAATCCCAGCTACTCGGGAGGCTGAGGTAGGAGAATCACTTGAACCCTGGAGGTGGAGGTTGCAGTGAGCGTCACTGCACTTCAGCCTGGGCAACAGAGTGACACTCCATCTCAAAAAAGAAAAACAAAATCCAACATGCATTTATATCCTAAGTTCCTGTTTTAACCCTTATTTTAAAACCCACCATTGAAAATAGTGAGTCTATTTTGATAATATATTTTGGTGTTTTGTTTGAGTGTACATTATTGAGAAAAATCTTTTGCATGGTTAAGTAGTGTTACATATCTTTTAAAACATGAGTAGAAAAGCATGGCTTTGAGGTTAAAACAATATCTCAGTGCAGGGTTACAGGCTTCTAAATCAATGATATTTCAAAAGAGCATATAGAGAGGAAAGGAGGGGGTAAGGGGACACCTTGGTCATGCTTTTAAATTTTCTTAAAGCCTAAACGTCCCCCTCATTAATATTAGGATTATAATCTTTATTTCATTCGGTTATTGTGAGAATTGAAATGAGGTAATGCCTCAACAGTGCTGAATTGTATATGACACACAGTTGACCCTTAATAAATGTTAATTCTTTTTTTCCTCAGCCCTATTCAGTCTTTTCCTGTATTACTATTGAAAGAGGGATCAAATCTTAGATTTACTCAGATGTTTGTTTATATGCCCCTATGTTTTTGTTTTTGTTTTTTTTTCCCTGATGCAGGATCTTACTCTGTCGCCCAGGCTGGAATGTTGTGGCATGATCTTTGCTCACAGCAACCTCTGCCTTCCAGGTTCAAGCAATTCTCGTGCCTCAGCCCCCTGGAATTACAGGTTTGCACCACCATGCCCAACTAATTTTTTCTATTTTTAGTAGAGATAGGGTTTTACTGTGTTGGCCAGACTGGTCTTGAAATCCTGGCCTCAAGTGATTCACCCACATTGGCCTCCTGAAGTGCTGTGTTTACAGGTGTGAGCCACTGCACCCGGTCACTCCCATGTTTTAATATCATCAGCCTTCCTTTGAAACTTGAAGAAAGGAAGTGAAAATGAGTCTCACTGTGTCACCTAGGCTGGAGTTCAGTGGTGCGATCTCAGCTCACTGCAACCTTTGACTCCCAGGTTCAAGCAATTCTCCTGCCTCAGCTTCCTGAGTAGCTGGGATTACAGGTGCCCACCACCATGCCCTGCTAATTTTTTTGTATTTTTAGTAGAGACAGGGTTTTACCGTGTTAGCTAGGATGGTCTTGCTCCCCTGACCTCGTGATTCTCCAGCCTTGGCCTCCCGAAGTATGGGGATTACAGATGTGAGCCACTGCACCTGGCCAAGAATGGATTTTTATAAATCTTTGTGTAGAGGAGAAATAGAAGGCAAACAGACCTGACTGCCTGAACTTTAGGAGAGTACCATGAGAACTGAGAGTTGAAAAAGTTTGAACTAGCAATTATGGAGAATGGAAGAGAGATTTTGGGATGCCAGAAAGAATTTGCTGAGAAATGCTGATGTGAATCATGAAGAGAGGCACAGGACATTTTCAAACAGCAAGGCATTATTCTTATCAATATTCTTTCTTTCTTTTTCTCCTCTTTCTATCTCTTTTCCCTTCCTCCCTCTCTTCCTCCCCTCCTCCATCTCTTTCTTTCTTTTTCTTTCTTCTTCATTTTTTTTTTTGAGATGGAGTGTAGCTGTGTTGCCCAGACTGGAATGCAGTGGCGCAATCTCGGCTCACTGCAACCTCTGCCCTCCTGGGTTTAGCAGCCTCCTGAGTAGCTGGTATTACAGCTGCCCATCACCACACCCAGCTAATTTTTGTATTTTTAGTAGAGATGAGTATTGGCTAGGCTGGTCTCGAACTCCTGATCTTGTGATACACCCGCCCTTGGCCTCCCAAAGTGCTGGGATTACAGGCATGAGCCACTGTATCTGGCCTATTCTTAGGAATATTCTAATGAAAAGAGATTATTTGAACCCAGTTGGTTATAGTTTCTTTTTTCTCTTTTTTAATTTTTGAGGCAGGATCTTGCTTCATCACCCAGGTTGGAGTGCAGTGGTGCTGTCGTAGCTCACTGCACCCTCATCTCCTGGGCTTAAGTGATCCTCCCAGCTCAGCCTCCTGAGTAGCAGCTGGAACTATAGGCACACACCACCATGCTGGCTAATTTTTTAAAATTTCTTGTAGAGGCAAGGTCTTGCTGTGTTGCCTACGCTGGGCTTGAACTCCTGAGTTTGGGTGATCTTCTCATCTTGGCCTCCCAAAGTGCTAAGATTAGGCATGAGCCAAGATACTTGGCCAATTATAATTTCTCACTGTTGACTAGTTTGGTGGTAGAATGTAAATATTTTTTCAATATATCTTTTTCAATGTGGTTTTTCATTCTAAGCTCTTTTAAGCTGGGGTAATGCACAAAGGTCTACTCTTGTAGAGTGAATAGAGAAGAGGATCAGAAGAGTCAGGCTATGAAATGCCTATACCTGGAAGCTTTTAGGAATGGAATAGTTTGTGAGGTTATCCTGGCTCTGTGTCAGATCTCTGGCTTGTGACATAGTTGCTTTGAGAGCTTTGTCCCTTGATACTGCTGGCTCTATTTCTCTTGTCCTAGCATAGCCTGGGATCCATTCTCACTGATAATTCTTAAATTTAATACTTTCTTCTTTTCCTTCTACTGCTTGCAACTGCTATTAAGTCTTCATGTCAGGAGATCTGAATTCTGGTCATGATTCTGCCACTTGTTCTAGTTTTGTGGTTAAAGAGGCATAATAAAACGAAAAGAACAGGATACTGAATCAAAACATTTGTTTTCTAATTCTAGCTCTCTGCTATGTAAGTAGGACCTTGAGCAAGTTATCTCATTTCTGAGTCTATTATACAGTTATACTAATTATGATGTTTATAATAATGGACATTGTGTGTTGAGTACTCACCATGTGCCTGGAACTATGCCAGATGTTTTATGTATGTTATCTCATTAATTGCCATAGTAACCCTGCAGAGGAGGTGGTATTTTCCCAGTTTATTATTTTTTTTTTTGAGACAGAGTTTTGCTTTTATTATCCAGGCTGGAGTACAGTGGCGCGATCTCAGCTCACTGCAACTTCCACCTCCTGGGTTCGAGGGATTCTCCTTCCTCAGCCTCCTGAGTAGCTGAGATTACAGGCACCTACCACCATGGCTGACTAATTTTTTGTATTTTTAGTAGAGACAGGGTTTCTCTTGTTGGCCAGGCTGATCTCAAAAACTGAGGACAAGGGTGACCTCGGGTGATCTGCCCACCTTGGTCTCCCAGAGTGCTGGGATTATAGGCATGAGCCACCATGCCTGGCCCCAGTTTTATAACCAAGGAAATAGGTTTAGAGAAGTTAAGTAGTTTGTATAAGGTGAGGTACAATAAGGTACACTGAGTTCGAATGTCCGAGTCTGTAAGGCTTCAAAGTTCATGCACTTTCTTTTTTCAAATTATTACTGTTTTTAAGAGTGGAAGTCTTGCTATGTTGCCTGAGTTGTTCTTGAATTCCTGGGCTTACGCCATCCTCATGCCTAAGCCTTCTGAGTAGCTTGGACTGCAAGTGCACACTACTGTGCCTGGTTTCTTTAATTTTGTATACAGCTTTACATTATACAGAATACTTTCTCGTGTATAAGCTTGTTTAATACTTAACAGTGGTGGTTTTGTTCATTTTGTAGAAATGTGAAACGATTCTTAGGTTGAGGGACTTGCCCATTGTCATACATTGAGCAAATGATGGAACTCAGACTCAAAAACTAGATGTGACTGGTGGTCTTTCCCCTGTATTATATTGCATGGAGTGAAATACTGAGCATACATCCAATGTAAACTGTAAAGAGTTAGGGGCTCTTCAGGTCTGGACACTTTTTTCTCATTGCAGACCCTGCACATGGGAGCACTCACCACTACGGATCAGTTTCTCATTTCTTGAACAGGTGTTGATTCTACCAAAATCTAGAAATGAATTGAGTAGTCTGAGTTAGGAATGACTTAGATGTGGCAATGTCCATCTATGATGGAAGTGTCAGTAGTTCTTTCCTGATCTGAGAGCCAGGTCCCTATGTCAGATTTTCTTAAGTCCACCTGTATTTTGCTGTCTTTTTTCCTAACCCCATAGATCTGCACATTTGGCTCTAGATTTTTGGAGGAAGAAGATCTGATTTATAAATAATGCCACAAATGGTGTCATAAATTACCCTTTATTTCTTTCCTTCTTCCTCTTTTTTTTTTTTTTTTTTGACAATAAAGTCTTGCTCTGCTGCCTGTGCTGGAGTACAGTGGTGGTCCAAATTCTGTTCACTGAAACCTCTACCTCCCTGGTTCAAGCAGTTCTTCTGCCTCAGCCTCCCAGGTAGCTGGGATTACAGGTGCCTACCCCCACAACTGGCTAATTTTTGTATTTTAGTAGAGATGGGGTTTCACCATGTTGGCCAGGCTGGTCTTGAACTCCTGACCTCGTGATCCACCTGCCTCAGCCTCCCAAAGTGCTGGGATTACAGGCATGAGCCACTGTGCCTGGCCTACCCTCTATTTCTTTGAACCCTGAATCTTATTACTGAAGTAATGGTGAAGCTTATAGGGGCAGGCTTTGCGATTTCTCTGGAGGGTTGGATGAGAGTCGTTACATAGGAATTTCCAGCAAAGCATAAAGGACTATGTAAATATTCTTGATGTGACAATATATAAAGACATCTTAGTTATCAGTAGTGATATTTAATGATATGTCATGCTACAAGTAATTTGTGTGATATCCTAGAAATGGAATTGTATATTTACCGGTTATTGTTTCTCCAGTGTCTTCCCATAAGTGTATCTTAATGTTTGTTGAGTTTAAGTCAATAAATCCAAACCTCTGGAATCCATACCTCTGTATTAATGAAGTTGTACTATTTTGCTTGCATAATTATGTTATTTTCAATATATTGTAGCATGTTATTCCTTGTCAACTGGAAGTCACTTTGGAAGGTGACTGTTTTGTGTTGGTTTTGCCTTTTAGTTTCTCCTCAAAAAGTGAAATAAAGGGCTTATCTTTTTGCTTTTAGGAAATGCTGAATGTTCATGATCATTATCAGAACATGAAGCATGTAATTTCAGCTGATAAGTCTAACCCAGATAAAGCCCTCAGCTTGATAAAGGATGATTTTTTGGACAATATTAAGAACATAGTTTTGGAGCATCAGCAGTGGCACAAAGACAGAAAGGTATGTAATCACTTGTTTGGTGCCTCACTATTGCATTATGCATGAATGTTTATCCATGGATGGTAATGCTGAGAGGCAGCCTGGCTTTAGAGGCTGTAATCCTGTGAAGCTAAGATTTAGATGGCTTGGGTTTTCTTGTTCCACTTTTGCCATTTATTAGGTATGTGATGTTATTTAACCTTACAGATGTGTGTGTGTGTGTGTGTGTGTGTGTGTGTGTATGTGTGTATATGTGTGTATATGTGTGTCTATATATTTTTTTAAATAGAAGAGTAATGTAATTTTGTTATACAACAGATTTATTACAGTCTTTATAATTTGGCATTTTCTAGGGGTTGCACATTGTCAGTCTTGGGGTGAAATCCTGCACACAGATATGTTTTGTTGGACATAGTGTTGATTCTAACATTTAAAAAAATTTTTGAGTTAATTACCAACTTTTAAGCATTTTTAAACTTCATCTAAAATTCTAGACGTACAACTTTCCTTAAAATTCAGAAGGATTTCACTTAGCTGCATGACAGCAGAGACAGTGGGACCTGAGTGGTGGCTTTTCCTATTGTGATAGGGCAGGTGTTTTTCTGTTTACACATTGTCTGCCTGGTGTGGTTTATCTTTTTGCAAGTCTCATCAACACAGATCGTCAACTTAGTTTATTTAACTGACGGTATTGATGCTAGAGCTACCCATATTTCCCATTAGCCTTTTCAGCTAGAGAAACTTTTTTACCCTGGAAACCTAAAAGCTAGCCTTTTGAAATTTACTTTTGAAACAGTTACTCCATCTTATTTTAGTAAATACTTCCAGGAAAAAAAAAACTTTTTTAAAGGAAGCAATTTCTGATTACTTACTATGTGTCTTGATAATGTTTTGGTGTTTTCACAGATGCCACACAGGTGTTATGTATATATTGTCTTTCAGAAAGATTTCTTGCCACTTTTTCACTTTCTATTATATAAAGGAAGCTGGCTCAAAACTTAATTTTAGAAAAGATAAACAAGGAAACTGATAAGAAGATGATAGTCTTGGGAAAAAGAAAATAACTTTATTCCTCTGCATTTATTTTAATGAGAGATGCCAAGTTTTAGAATGTTTGAATACTTTTAAGTCCTACAAATGAATTAGGCATTTAATATAAAAATGTGTTAGTATTCTTTGTATGCATATGTACAAGGCCTTGCTGTGTCACCCTGGCCGGAATACAGTGGCATGACTACAGGTCACTGTAGCCTCGACCTCCCCTGCTTAAGTGATCTACCCACCTCAGCCTCCTGAGTAGCTGGGTTTGCAGACATATGCCACTGTGCCCAACTGATTTTTTTATTTTTTGTAGAGAGAGGGTCTTGCTATGTTGCCAGGGCTAGAACCAGCTTAACTTTAAATTTTTTTGTAGAGATGGGGTCTTGCTATGTTGTCCAGGCTGAATTGGAACTCCTGGCCTCAAGCAATCATCCCACCTCAGCCTCCCAAAGCATTAGGATTACAGAATTAGCCACCATGCATAGCCAGGATTCTCTTTTAATAGGTAAACTCTGTTCAAAGAGTATTACTAGGACCTCTGAAAACCTGAAGGAAAGGAAAATAAGCCAGTTTTCTTACTACCACATAAAGTTCACACTGTCTTTCATTAGTTAGGAAGATTTAAGCAATTTAATGATGAATTGTAGAATATTTTGTAACCTGTGATCTTAATGTTAGGTTGTATATACCGTACTGCAATAATGTGAATGATCTTTTAGTTTTTCATTTATTAAAAGTAATGGATTCTCACTCTTCTAAAATTGATTTGCAATTAAATTGAATTGTAAATTTGTGTATGTGTGTGTATGTATCTTTTTTGCTCTTTCAGAATCCATCCTTAAAATCAAAAATTAATGATGGAGAGGAAAAAACAGAAGGAAATTCACAAGAAACAGAGGTCAGAAAACTTTGCAATTCATATTATGTATGGCTGTGATTCTGTATACTAAGCATTGTAACCCATTGTAAGTATATAAGTATTATAAGAAATTTAAGAGAAAATTCTGAATCATGGTTCTGTGAAAAGCTAGTTTGTTCTTTACTGGAAACCTTGTGGAGGCCACATCAGGTGTAGGTTGGGAGAGAGGATGATAATAGTTTTCTGCAGGGAAAGGAAAGGTTGACTATGGAAGGTGCCCTCAGTTTGTGGAGGGTCGGGATAAAGCCTTTGTAATAAACTTTTTCTCACTTCTTGTCAGCCTTTCAACCAATGTAGAGCCCAAACTCTTAAACTGTATACTGCTTCCTGCCTCCAGAGGTTTCATCCACCTTAGTGGATGAATCAAGTAGCCATCTTTGAGTATAGGCAGATGAGGAGGGAATGGCAGTCCAAGGCTCTGCCTGATCACCCAGACTTTCATTCTTATTGTCCTCCTTGAATCCTTAATGAAAATGATCTGTAGCTATGGGGATGGTAATATGGCACCTGCTACATCTGTGACAGAATGTGGTATATGTTTGTGTGTGTGTACTCAATATATACCCAATATATGTTAGTTTCATTTAGCCTACCCTCTAATTTCTATTAATAAGTACTTGGGTATTCTGTCATATTTCTGAAAATAAATACTTGGGTATTCCATTTTTCACCTGTTTGTGTGTTTTAACTTTTTTTCTTCTTGTTTATTTTACTTCCAGAGATGTGAAAGGGCTGAATCATTAGCGAAAATAAAATCAAAGGCCTTTTCAGTTGTCACTCAGGTAAGTTATTTCTTTAATAAAGTAATTTGGTAATTGACTGACTGCTTTTTAAATTACATTTCAGTTTTTCATCAAAGTGGTAATACATGTACTTAGTTTTAAAAGTCAGATAATACTAGAGAGATTATGTAGCACAACAGTTCTTTTCTCTGCCACTTCCCACCCTGGTATTCCTAACCTTGAGAGGCAACGTCTTCGACTTTTTCTCTTTTAGCAATTTCTTCTGATACTTACCTGGAATTTTGATGCCATTTTCTTTATTGTCTTTCAGCTTCTAGTATTACTGATTTTGGAAGATTGTCGGGTTTCGCTTTGCCCTGGAGTTCAGAAATTTCATTTAATACATATAATGTAACTTGGTATACATCTTTTTGGTTTATTGTCCCTGGCACTCATGGTGCCCTCCTTTCAATCTGATACCTTTCAGTTCTGAAGAAGTTTTTGTATCATTTCTTTGATACAAATGTGCTTTGCTACATCTTTTCTATTCTTGAACTTTCCCTATTTTTCCTCTTTTATTTTCAGTCTTTTTCTTGTTTTCTATTTTCAGGGAGATTTCATAGGCTTTATCTTCTGAACCATTATATTGATTTTTTAAAATTTCTCCTGATTTTTTTTTTCATTACTAAGAATTTTTCTTGTTCTCTGAGTGTTTCTTTTTTATTTTTTAAATGTATTTTTTCACAGGATGCAATAACTTTTTCTGTTTAAGGATATTAATTACAGTTTTTTGATGGTTTCTCCCATTTCCTCTGAGTAATTTTTTTTTCTATTTGTTTGAACTCTTTCATTTTGTTGGCTTTTTAAAACTGATTGAAGATCCTCAGATATCTGTTCCTATTTAAGAGAGGTCAAAAGGAGGAGATAAAGCTTATTTAACCTCTAGATTTCTTTTTCTTGGATCTAGTTATTTAGAGAGCAATCTTCCATTCCCTTGTCTATGGGAGGAGGGTGGGAAATAAGCCTGGCTGCCAGTGTTTTGAGAGCCTACAGAGATAATCAGCTGGGAGGCTCACCATTCCTTATTCAGGTTTCACTCAGCCCCTCTATTTTCAGTAAGAGGCCTCACATACTTCCTCAGCTACACCAGTTTCCTTTGAGCCTATAGCCTTTCTCATTTAGCCCCCTCAGAGAGCAGGCCTCCTGTTTTGTATAGGAGGTCAGCTGCCTGGCTTTGAGGCTAAGGAATGAGACAACATTCTTACAGATTTTCAATGCACCTGCCTGTTTTTTCAGTCCCACCTCAGCCTTCCAAAATGCCGGGATTACAGATGTGAGCCACTGCGTCCGTCCCTTTGCCCATTTTTTAATGGGGTTGTTTTTGTTTGTTGAATTGTTTAATTTTCTTATAAATTCTGAATATTAGACCTTTATTGAATACAAAGTTTCTGACTGTTTTCTCCCATTCTGTAGGTTATCTGTTGTTTATTTCATTGTACAGAAGCGCTGTAGTTTGGGTCCCACTTGTCAATTTTTGTTTTTGTTGCAATTGCTTTTGGAGACAGTGATAAATTCTTTGCCAAAGCCAATGTCTAGAATGTTATATCCTAGGTTTTCTTCTAGGCTGTTTCTTATCTTAGGTCTAACATTTAGGCCATTAATTCATCTTGATTTTTGCATATGGTGAAAGGAAGGGGTCCAGTTTCAATCTTCTGGATATGGCTAGCCAGTTATCCCAGCACCATGTATTAAATAGAGTCCTTTCCCCATTGTTTTTTATTGTCGACTTTGTCAGAGATCAGGTGGTTTGTAGTTGTGTGGCTTTATTTCTGAGTTCTCTGTCTGTTACATTGGTCAATGTGTCTGTTTTTGTACCAGTACCATGCTGTTTGGGTTACTATACTGTATCTGTGGTTTCTGCATCCATGGATTCAACCAATTGTGGATTGAAAGTATTTGAAAAAAAAATTGCATCTGTACCAAATATATATATAGACTTTTTTCCTTGTCATTATTCCCCGAACAATATGACAATCATTTACATATCATTAGGTATTATAAGTAATCTAGAGATGATTGAAAGTATTTGCATAGGTTATATGCAAATACTACACAATTTTATATCAGGAATTTGAGCATCTCTGGATTTTGGTATCTGAAGGAGATCCTGGAACTAATCCTCCATGGATACTGAGAGATATGATTGCTTTTTAAGACTTGCTAATACCTGTATTGCATATACAACATTAACTGAACATTCTTTGTTTAAGCAAGTAAGGGAATTCACCTACTGATGTAACAGAACAAATCGTTAGCCAGGATTGGCTAAGGATATCTGTGTCTCAGACAAAGATATCATTAAGACTGGCCCTCCCTTTTCACTGCTGTCAAGTGCTGTTTTCCTGACAGCTCCAGCTTTGCATGTTCCCAGCTTTAGGTTCAAAGACAAGAAAGAATTTTTCCTTCCTAACAGTTAAACAGTTCCAAAGTAGCATTTAGTTAGCCACATACCCCACCTGCTAGCCTCCCCACTCCCAACAAATTACCCTGGTCATGGGGCTGTTAAACTCGTTGTGGCCAGATTTGAGCCAGATGGCCATACCTGGAGCCAAACATGAAGTACTTCTCCTCAGAACACATGGTAATGCCTAAGGGAAATACATTTATTAGAATATGCCTGTTACACCTCTGTTGCCCAACCATGCCACATAATAGAACAACTTCATTTTAACCCCATGTGAGTAGATGGTGATGACAGCTGCAGGAAACTTCATGTTATAAAGGTAAGAGACTATATGACACGGGTAGTTATAGTAAGCCAGGGTAATAATGAAGTGTTTCATTACAGATATTTCTATAAATCTTTCCTCATCTTTGATTGTATGTTTTGTCTTTCCCTGAATTACCTATCTTTTGGATTCATTTTGTAATTTATTTGTTAATTGGATTCTGACTTTTAAGGCATCCAAATCGAGAAGGCATCGTCAAGTCAAACTTGATTCTTCTGATTCTGATTCTGCATCTGGTCAAGGACAAGTCAAAGCAACTAGGAAAAAAGAGAAGAAAGAAAGATTGAAACAAGCAGGAAGGAAGATGTCTTTCAGAAACAAAGGTAACTTTTTAAATCTTACTAAGTTTCAAAAAAAGGAGAATGGGTTTTATTTACAACTTTGCCTGACCTCTGTTTGCTTGTTAAGGATTAGCTGCTTGTTTGAGAACATTTTTGTGAGATTTGATATTAAAAATAAATTATCTTAGATTCTTGGAATCTTACTGCCTAGAAGGGACCCTAGGAATCATATCAATTGTGTCATTTTATAGATGATGAAATTTAGGCCTGTCCGGGTGGTGGCTCATGCCTGTAGTTCAGCACTTTGAGAGGTCTAGGTGGGCGGATCACTTGAGGTCAGGAGTTTGAAACCAGCCTGGCCAACATGGTGAAGCCCCATCTCTACTAAAAATATAAAAGTTAGGCTGGCTGCAGTGGCTGACGTCTGTAATCCCAGCACTTTGGGAGGTCTAGGTGGGAGGATCACTTGAGGTCAGGAGTTTGCAACCAGCCTGGCCAACATAGTAAAGCCCCGTCTCTACTAAAAATATAAAAGTTAGGCTGGGTGCAGTGGCTCACATCTGTAATCCCAGCACTTTGGGAAATCTAGGTGGGCGGATCACTTGAGGTCAGGAGTTTGAAACCAGCCTGGTCAACATTGTGAAGCCCCATGTCTACTAAAAATATAAAAGTTAGGCCAGGCGTGGTGGCTCAAGCCTGTAATCCCAGCACTTTGGGAGGCCGAGGCGGGTGGATCATGAGGTCAAGAGGTTGAGACCATCCTGGTCAACATGGTGAAACCTCGTCTCTACTAAAAATACAAAACATTAGCTGGGCATGGTGGTGCGTGCCTATAATCCCAGCTACTCAGGAGGTTGAGGCAGGAGAATTGCCTGAACCCAGGAGGCGGAGGTTGCGGTGAGCCGAGATCGCGCCATTGCACTCCAGCCTGGGTAACAAGAGTGAAACTCCATCTCAAAAAAATAAAAATAAAAATATTAAAGTTAGGCAAGGTGCAATGGCTCACATCACATCTGTAATCCCAGTGCTTTGAGGCTGAGGCGGGCAGATCACCTGAGGTCGGGAGTTTGAGACCAGCCTGAGCAACATGGAGAAACCCTGTGTCTACTAAAAATACAAAATTAGCTGGGCGTGGTGGTGCATGCCTGTAATCCCAGCTACTCGGGAGGCTGAGGCAGGAGAATTGCTTGAGCCCCAGAGGCGGAGGTTCTAGTGAGTCAAGATTGTACCATTGCACTCCAGCCTGAGCAACAAGGGCGAAACTCTGTCTCAAAAAAAAAAATAGTTAGCTGGGCATGGTAGCATATGACTGTAATCTCAGTGACTTGGGAGGCTGAGGCATGAGAATCACTTAAACCCAGAAGGCGGAGGTTGCCGTGCACTGAGATTGTATCACTTCACTCCAGCTTAGGTGACAGAGTGAGACTCTGTCTCAAAAAAAAAAAAAAAAATGTAGGCATATACAGATTAAATAAATTGTCTAAAATGATATATTAATAGCTAGTTGTGAAATCAGTCTAGAATTATCCAGTGCATATTTTATTAGTAATTTTTGTGTGTGATTATGTGTAGAATAAGATATAAGTAATGCATTCTATAAACCATGTTTCTTTTAAGCTGTATTAAGGTGTCCTTGCTTTTCCTTTGACACAGTGTATCTGTAAAATTACCTTTCTTAAGGAAAGGACTTTTGTGTATATTTCAATAGTTTGGTTTTTAAAAAAATTGTATGAAAAATGTATATGGACCCTACATAAATTTGGAATTTGATTAACAGGCTTACTTAGGGTAAAAAAAAAAGGAACATTAAAAACATTAGTAAGTATGTAAAGACTAATACAGAATTCACTCCTAACTACTGCAGGAGTATATGAAGATAAGTTAACAGCCTTTTAGCATTTTTTCCCCTATACTGAAGCAGCGGAAGGAGAATTGAAGTTAAATACCTTTACTATGTCCCAGATATGATTAAGTGCTGTAACAGTAGCTTTAAGTGCACTAAGAATTCAGAGGAGATACCATGTTTGTTAAGTATGATCAAGTAATAGTTCAAAAGGAGATTTTTCTACTTCTTTTCACAATGCTAGTGGATATTGTGAAGAAAATTGTTAGACTAAACTCACTTTTAAATATTACTGACAAAATCCTAAATCACATATATCAAAAATAATCCTAGACAAAAAAACACCTTGACTGAGTACACATATTTCAGGATGCATTCAGAATCTGCTAATATGATTTGCCATATAAATAGGTTAAAGGGGAAAATGTGAATTTATTTTAATAGTTACTAAAGAATACATTTATAATATCCAGCATCCATTCTTGATTTAAAAAAAAAAAAAAATCTGGCCGGGCACTGTAGCTCATGCCTATAAACCTGCACTTTGGGAGGCCAAGGCGGGCAGATCACCTGAGGTCAGGAGTTCGTGACCAGCCTGACCAACACAGTGAAACCCTGTCTCTACTAAAAATACAAAAATTATCCGGGCATGGTGTCAGGTACCTGTAATCCCAGCTACTTGGGAGGCTGAGGTGGAGGTGGAGCTTGCAATGAGCTGAGATCACGCCATTGTACTCCAGCCCGGGGAACAAGAGCGAGACTTCATCTCAAAAAAAAAAAAAAATCTTCTGGATAAAGGAGTCAGCAAACCATTTCTGTAAAGGGCCAGGTAGTAAATATGTTAGGTTTTGTGGGCCATGTTTCTGTCACAACTACTCAACTTTACCATTGTAATGTGAAAGGAGCTACAGACGATATCAAAATACATGAATCGTGGTTGTAGTCCAGTAAAACTATAAAAGCAGGTAGTGGGTCCGATTTGGTCCAGGGGTCATAGTTTGTTAACTCTTGCCCTAGATAAAATAGAAGATTATTTGTTTAATCTTACAAATGTGTGTGTGCACAGATATATTAGATCACAAGTTGCCTCATGCTCAATGGTAATATGGATGAAGTATCACAGTTTTACTTAATGTTGATCTTAAAGAGGTAGTCAGTGTAATCAGACAAGAGAGTAAAGGGAGATACGATATCAGAAAGAGAGGCTACAAAATTATATGATTTGTGAATGATTTTATGCCTAAAAATATTCTAAAAAGAATTTGCTGAAAAATAGGAACAAAAATTTAGGGAGATAAGGGTTACCACTGTAGACCTTACAAAGATTAAGAGGTGACTAAGGCAAAGTTATAATTTTATGCCCATAAGTTAGATAGCTTAAATAAAATGGATTAATTTACTAAGAGACACAAATTTCCAAAACTGATGCAAGAAGAGATATAAAATCTGTGTAGTCTTATGTCTACTGAGACCTCGAAATATCTGAGACAGGTCTCAGTCAATTTAGAAAGTTTATGTTGCTAAGGTTAAGGACGTGCCTGTGACACAACCTCAGGAAGTCCTAAGACATGTGCCCAAGGTGGTCAGGGGTACAGTTTGCTTTTATACATTTTAGGGAGACCTGACACATCAGTCAATATGTGTAAGTTGCACATAGATTTGGTCCGATAAGGCATCAAGTGGGGGCTTCCAGGTTAGAAGTAGATTAGACAGAAAGTTTTTTGAGTCTTTGATGGCCTTCTGCTGAATATAACAATTTACTCTGGCTCAATGAATCTGCATTTTCACATAAACAGTAGGGGAGAGGAAGCAATCAGGTATGCATTTGTCTTAGGTGAACCTCAGAGGGATGACACTGAATAGAATGGGAGTTTGCCCTAAGCAGTTCTCAGCTTGACTTTTCAGTTTAGCTTAGTGATTTTGAGGTTCCGAAATTTATTTTCCTTTCACAATGCTAAAGAAATTAAATTCCCAGGCTTCTCTGGAAATTTTAGCAAACGTTCAAGAAAGGAATGATATAGATTCTTTCAGAAAATACAAGAGGGAACACTTTCCAGCTTACTGACGTTGCAAGAAAGAACTAAAGACCAATATCCCTTATCTCCTACAAAATTCAAAATGGATTATGGACCTACATTTGAAACCTAAAATTATGAAACTTGTGAAAAAATATGTAGGAGAAAAATGTGTTCTTGGATTGGGCAAGATTTTTAAATATATGACATTAAAAAATACAATCAAATTATGAAACAAAGCAATTGATAAATTGTCATTCCTAAAGTTACAATTTTTGTCTTTAGAAGATACTGTTAAGAAGATGAGAAGATAAACCATAGACTCGGAGAAAATTTTTGCAAACTACTGCCCTGATAAAGGTCTTGTATCCAAAATAGTAATATTTAAAAAAATCTAACTCAGTAAATACACAGACCACCCAGTGAAGAAGCAGGTAAAACACTCCATCAAAGAAAATATGTGGATATTAAATAAGCATATAAAAAGATGTTCAGCATCTTTAGTAATTAGAGAAATGTAAATTAAAACCGCAATGACATTCTGCTAAACCTTGACCGGCAACAACAACAAAAAGACCCCACAAAACAAAACAAAAATTGTAATAACAAAAGCTGTTGAGGATTTGTAACAAGTGGAACCTGCATGCTCTTCTGGTGTGAATCCAGGTTACTTTGGAAAACTGGTAGTTTTTAAAAGGTAAACATGTACTTACCATTTGACCCAGAAATACTATTCCTTGGTATTTACACAAGAGAAATGAACACTTAATGTTCACACAGAAATGTGTATGCAAAAGTTTATGTGGCTTTATTCATAATCACAAGAACTGCAAACTGCCTAAAAATCCTTCCACTGCTGATTGGATAAACTGTGGCTTATCCAAATGCAACTCAGAAATGAAAGAGCTACCATACACGTAACAACATGGATGAATCTGAATTTAGTGTGCTGTGTAAAGGAAGACAGACACAAAAGGCTACATAGTATATGATTCTATTTATATGACATTCTGGAAAAGGCAAATCTATAGGGACAGAAAAATGTGGTTGATGTGGTTGCTAGGGACTTAGGGGTGGAGGAAGGTGCTGAATACACAGGGGCACAGAGAAACTTTTGGGGTGATGGAAAAATCTGTATTTTCTTTTCTTTCTTTCTTTTTTTTTTTTTTTTTTTTTTTTTTTTT